AAAAAAAATTATTACATATTTCACCCAAAGCAAGATGACAGGAGTTACTGAGAGTAAAGGAAACTGAGAATGTTGGTGAGGAGAAAGGACAATATAAAGAACAAGATTCAAAGAGATAAAAGATGATGACTGACATTACATTTACATTTTTGAGAGTTCCCCTGACAAAAAAAATGTGAGAGAAGAAACTATTAGAATAGAACTTATGGTTACTATTAGCAATTTCTACAGTAAAATGATGAGACCTAACTGCCAATCTAGTCTAGTATTGAACATATTTCTGTCATTTTTTTCTATATGTCTTAATGCAAATGTTGGGTCTATAAATATACTTTTCCCATGATAAGTACAGAGATTATGTTCACTATTATAGTATCTTGAAGTGTCTGTAAATTTCTATTTGTTTTTATTTTGTAAATCCTTCTTAATGATTTTTTCTTTTCTTTCAGAACCTACTCTCCTTTGGAGGGCTTTTTTAAAATTTTTTTCCTTCTATTTTTTCAAGTGAAGAGAGTGAAGTAACTGAATAAAAAGAATTTTGTCTTAAGTGGTTCCAAGTTAAAAAAAAAAAAAAAAGCAGAACAAATCAATGTGTCTATATCAATTGACTTCCAAGTATTTGCTTGTGAACGTTGGATATTTGTAAACAATTTGCAAATTTCAATTGTGAACAAGTGTCTGAACAATAAAAATATATCTTGATATCTTGGAAAAATGACTTTTTCTAATGGTAGTGCTATGTTATCAATTATCAAAAAGCAAAACAAAATGAATGGTTTATCTTAAAATGTTTTATGTTTCTTTCAGGGAAAGAAAGAGAAAAGAGTGTTTGTTAAATGGTTTAACATGTATATTTGAATAGTTACTTAATATTTGTCTGATGCATCTTGATTTGTTTTTAATTGTCCTGCATGAAAACATGAAAGACAGGAAATAATCTTTATGAAATTGAAGTGGTAGCACCTTACTGTAAATACAATTAATTTTATGATTTAATTTTTATTGCAAATACTCAGACCATTATTCTACAGCTGTTAAACAATGTGGATCACCAAGAGCTTATCCTTCACTGCTGAGTTGGATTACTAAAGGCTCATTTTTAAATTCTGATCCATGCTGTTTACTAATAATGTTTTTAAAAGTTGCAATAAAAAAAATCACCGGAATTGAGATGCAGACAATGGTTGATTTTTTTTTTTTTAAACAATAATGTTCATCTTGTGCAAGATCCAAGAGCCAGTCAATATAGAGGGTTAGAGAGTAAAAGGTACAGCTTATGGGGGATATGTAGGGAAGATAAAAGTTAACCCTAGACTTGAATAGTTTAAAATTGTAGTGATCTAGGAACCATCCTCTTGGGAGTCTGTTTCAAAAAATAGTGGTTTGTGGGAAAATGCTGCTCGAGTGGAACCAATCTTACCAGTGGAATTCTAAAGGAATGAGAGTGGTTTGATACAATGTGCATGGCATGCAGAGTCTTAGCCAATGAAGTTAGAACTGGTGGGACTAAAGATTGTAGTTCATCTGAACACTTTTCATGGAAATAGCCATAGGGTAGTAAGAGGCTTGTGATGTTTGTGGGGTGGAAAATAATCACCAGAAAGAATGCAGAGGCACTAAAAAAAAAAAAAAAAAAAAAAAACAATAAAAATTAATGATATTGTAATATACAATGTTATATTTTGTATACAGTGTAACCCGGATATAAGAGAGTTGTCGGGACCGGAGAAGAAGTCTCTTATATCCGGGTTTGGTCTATTTTATATACATTAACACAGGCTCTAATTTGGGACCAGAGAAAATCTCTCTTATATCCGGGTTACACTGTATAAACAGTATATCAAATGTGACAGTGTCAGACATTTAGGCAAAAAGATGGAATAAGTCTGTATAGTTGTTTTTATCTTCTGATCTGTTATCTCTGTAAGCTCAAGTTAGAAGAGCATCTGTTAGCATAAGACTAGTTTCCCAGAATGAGGCAAGTTCAAGTCTTAATAACTGCTTATTTATTTATAAACTGCCTGGTTTTCCAATGTTTGTCAAATAACAGTCTGGAGTAGACATGAGGAAGTAATTTATATTATAATGAAGGACGTAGAGCCAGTGGCTACAGTTAAATGTAAACAAATGGCAGAACTGCCCAACAAACAGAATTGACAAAGTAAGCAAGAAAAGAACAGGACAAAAAAAATAATATAGAATAAGCAAACAATATATGCAAGGTAAATTAACAGTAATAAGGCAAAGAGTTCACAAACTAAGAATTGGGGTTGACACATAAGAGGAAATTCAGATAAGCGAATGTAGCTTTCTGACTTTAAGACAAGACAGACTGGGACTGAGTCATATGAAAGTGAGAACTGGCCCATTTTACTGGGATAGGAAGAACTCTCAGCATGCATTGGTGTGTTTCTGCCTGTAAATTGTGGAGTGGGGAGTGTTTTGCAGTCATTCCCCATAGGGATTGGAACCAACAAAGGAAGTAAAAAAAATACAACTTTACAATTTAATATAAATTCAAGATGATATAGGTTTTTAATTAGGATTTTCAATATTGAATTTTAATCCCATACTTCAGATATGGAATATATTCTCTGAATTATGATGTAATTAGTAAAAGTTTTATTTACCTTTTGCATTTTTGATAATCTATATGCTGGTAAATATTTATCAAAACTGAAAGAGATAATAACTTATCTATCATTTGGGTCCTTTTAGTCCATCTTGTGTATAGGTAAGCACACTCACTCCTTACAATTTACTTTCTATTAAAGTTTGCATCATAGGCTATACAAAGTGTTTCTTGAAATCATGATCCTGAGTTCAATAACCCACAAAGATCATTAAGGCACCAGATGTACTGCAGTACATAAGATCAGTGGGTGGGTCTACAGCAAAAAATATTGACAGAGCCCATTCCTCCTTGGACTGGTTTGGATTGCAGAATTATCCTTCTCTTAGACTGGTTGCCACACAAGGCAAGATAGTCTGGCCTGCTATTTAGCCAGTAACTTCCTAGACTATGAATTTAAGCACTGTACTCATCAATTGCAGTTGAATTGGCTAGATGTAATCATAAGTTCTATGTTTACAGTTTCTTCTCTCACACTTCTTGTAAGGAACTCTTCTTGCTTAAACTTTGATTTAAATGCAATGTCAATCATTATTTATTGTCTTCCTGATTCTTCTTTTATTGGTCACACACTTTAATGTTTTTCTTTTACACTCAGTAACCCCTTTTGTCTTAGTAGTTTTACTGCTTTGCTTGGAGTGAAATGATAGCAAAAAGCTGATAGAAGATGGTTTATACCTTTTCCAAGGGCATTAGTACATAGTGGACAAACCAAACTTGAATAGAAATTGAACTCAGCATGCCAAATTGCATGCTTTCTTAATTTTGAATGAAAATTTGTGAATATTTTGCATTTTCACACCTGACATTTTCAGTATATCCCTAAAATTGGATTATTTTGAAATAAAAGAAAATGGTTGAATACTTTAAAACACTCAGTAATAGCTAAGGTGTTGCATTATTGGTCAGTAATAAAATTGATGAAGCTTATAAAGAGCTACAAAATCAAAACATTAACCTAAAAACAAATAATCTTATTCAATAGACAAATCTAAAGGAGATATTCATATGGATGTCATGCATGGCATTAAACCCATTCAGAAATATTTAAACTTAGCTGTATATAACGGCTTTCTAAGATCAATAGTTAAAAACAGGTTTGAGTGAAAGAAGCCTGTTTGTTTCAGTGAGGACCATCCTTCCTCTAACCTTGGGAACTGAAGCTACAGAATAGCAATGAAATGTACCAAATAACAGAAACCACATCACTTGAAGACTTAACATCAACAAAACTAAAATGGATATCACATATAACTTAGAGAAAACAATAGCATAATCCAGATGTTCCACACTACTTCAAGCAAAAAGTTAGGAAAGAAACTGCTATCAATAATGGAAAGCATAAGATTTAGTGGAACTGAGGAACTGAGGAACTATTTACCTGAAAATAGTCTTAATAGAAAGATTTTATCACTTTAAACCGAAAGTAGAACTGGCTAATTGATCAATGAATGCCAAATGTTTCCTTATAAGGAAATGGCTAGTATTACCATTGACAATAAAAAATAAAAGCTGTGAACTTTAACCAAAATATGGCACTATCAATAAATTAATGCCTTTCTTTTAGCTCTATTAGAATGTATCAAAAGTATTTTCATTTTTTTAACTGATGTTCATGTATTTTTGAGGCTGTACATATATATTTGAATAATGCTGGATTTCTGAATACTTTTACATACTGAAGTCTGAATTATGTACTTGATGTTTTAAAGCATTTCATAGGAAGTATCTCAAAGGGGCTTTGGCACATATCAGTGATGTTTTCAGCTGTGAATCATTGAGAGTTTCAGCTCTTCTTCATGGCAACTCAATTGATATTGATCAACTTGTGTGTCAGTCATGAGCTACAACTCTTCTCATAATGAAATTCCATCCAAACCCACTGCAACAAAAGAACTCTTTAGGCCCCATTAAGCATTATAATTAGTCAATCTTCAGCCATATCTGTTTTATTTCAATGGACAATTCACCAGTTTTAGGTAGCACAACTAACTTCAGTGGCTTTGATACAGTTTCAAATGCTACTTAACAATTGCCATAATCTTAATATTTGTATGTGCCATTATAACATCTGAGAAAAATCTACATTTTAATAGCATTTATAATGACATTTTTTAAAAATTTGCATTTCCCTTCAAGATATATCCTAAGTGAATATAGTTCAGAATTATTTTATGCATGAAAAATTTAGTCTCATATTCTTAGTATTATATATTAGCAACCATTTAGTTCTTTTAGTAATGCCTATGTTAGTATTTATTGTTAAATTATAAGTTATTGAAATGTTTTTAATTTAGTTAAATTGAAATTTTCAGCTTCAAGTTTTTTTTTGTTTTTTTTAAACTTGTAATTCATTTTTATTTTCTAGGTGTGTGCCATTATTGGAGGGACTTTCACAGTTGCAAGCATCATTGACTCCTGCATTTTTACCGCTTCTGAACTTTTCAAGAAAGCAGAGTTAGGCAAACTGACCTGATGGATCTCTTCCTACTTATCTCATGCGCACACCTGTGTGTGTGAAAATATTTTATTTATCTGATATCTTAAAAGATATTTCTTTGTATGAGGTGAAGAAAAAGGCATTAATTTCAAAAGGGAAAAAAAATCTGGAAAAAGAAAAACTCTTGTAACTTTTCATGCATTTGTATTTAATGACAAAGTTTTGTGAAAGAGCCTTGTGGATATGAAAACTGATAAAAGCTCAAATTACTTGAAATTATGTAATTCTTTTGTTTTATGTGAAGATTTTAAAATCAAAGGATCCTTTGTTTTATATTTGAAAGGATCATTTTTTTTCACTCCTCATCAAAAAACAAAAGAAAAGAAAAATAAAATTTCTTGCAGTTATTTTCTGAAAGTGTCTTCAGTCTTGATGAAAGTAAGTTGATTCTCATTTTATCTACCCAGAAAATAGTCACCAAACGAATACTTTTGGGAAAGGTATGAAACCAACTTTCCCTGGAGTCTCATTATCAGTTATCTTGATTATTGTCTTATCACTGCCATGATTGTAGACAATTGGGTTAAGGATTTTTTGGTACCATCTTACCTATTACTATTGAACTTGGATAGGAGAAAAGTACCACAAATACCTCCTTTGTTTATTGTACCCATGAAAGACATCACATTCATTCTGAAATACAACAGATCCAACTTAATATTTGAAGTCTATATTCTAATAAGAAATTGTGTAAAATAATTCTATAAATTCATGTGTTGGTTACAAAACCAACATAAAAGAAAAAAAAAAAATGTCACCGCTAAATGTGTTTTTATTTTATTATTATTCTTGTAGAAATGTTTATATATTCCACTCAACCATTTTTAAGACACTTTGAGAAATTTATCTGAACTGCTATTTTCATCTCTCATGTTTTAGGTTCAGAGAGTTTCCATTCCGATATTTTAACTTCATAAGGATCTTGAGTATTATCAGTTAATATTGTCTATAGGCCGCCTTTCTATTTTTTTTTTTTTATTGTTAGTTGAAAAGAGAAAACATACCATTGCAAAACTGCCAAATCAAAGTGTGAAGATGCTGAAGTGTTAAAATAAAACAAATAGAAAATTGCTTCTTTTTTTTTTAGTTTCTCATGGAAATCATTTAAGTGATAATCGATATTTTTATTTGTCCATTATTTTGTGAAATGGAGAGGAAAGAAAAGTGCTCAGCAGCCACAATTCTAGATTATTTACATGTGTATGCTTCTATTTTCTCCAAGAGCAAATAAAGAGTTACAAAACCAAAAAATGGTGCTGTTTTGTTTGAACAATTCAGAGTCTGATATTTTTTCTTCTTTTTCAAAGAACCCCCCACCCAATCATGTCCTTCATTTATTTTTTCTTTCTCAGAAATATTTTGGTGCAAATTTCTGCTCTGATGTTATCTTGTTAAAGCATAAACAAAAGATGATATTGCTGACTATTCTTGTATACTGTCAGGTTTTATTATGCAATCAACATTGTCACAATAAAATTAGTATTAACTAATATATATCATTTCTAAAGAATCCATTTATTATTTATCAGACATTTTTATTACTTCAGTTGTTATAATGGACACTTCATATTTACATAGATTTCCCATTTTTATATATATATATATATATATTGTTGGACTGATGTGAGTTTGTTAGCTCTATCACTGATATTCAGTACTTTCCAATAAGTAACACATATATGTATGTGTCTTTTAATGTATGCTATATTTATGGGTTGAAGTGCTCAATATCGGGGTCAGAGTCAGTTATCTCCTGTTAATTCCCCTCTCCAAGTTCTCAAGGACACATGGCACAGCAGATAAAGGTGTTAGTTAGATCCAGTGACAGGACCCAAAGAGTGTGAGTTCAGTACCTGGTTAAGGTGGTGGAGAACTTGGAAAGGGGAATTAACAGGAGATAATGGATATCCATTAGACATGGCACGTGGAACTAGAACAGTCTACTCCAGTGAATGAAATAAAGGGTTAAGTTCGACATTCCAACCACCTGAAGAAGGCAGGAGTGTACAACTGCTGAAACATTGTAATAAATATGGCAACAAAGGTGAGGACAATAGTTTGAATAATGTAAACAATGTAATTAATAAATAATTAGAAAACAATTAATGTATACATCTCAACCAAAAAGCAACCTGAAATCTCAAGCCAGGTTCTAAATGTATTGTAAAAAACCAAAGCATCAACCTGAAATCTCAAGCCAGGTTCTTAAATGAACTTCTCAGATTGTAACAAAACCAAAGCATCAACCTGAAATCTCAAGCCAGGTTCTTAAATGAACTTCTCAGATTGTAACTTTCATATGAATGCTATACATGGTGCAAAACCCATTCAGAAATATCTAAATTGTCACCTTTCTGAGATCAAAGGTTAAAAATTGGTTTGAATGAGTCAAGTTTGAATGTCTTGGCAAAGACCATCCTTCTATGAACTTTATGAACTGGTGCTACAGAATTTCAAAGAACAAAACTACTAGATAACAGAAAGAACATCAGGAAGATTCAATAAGTGCAACAAATGCATAGTACCTCAAAGAGAAAAAGACAGAATCAAGATGTTAACATTCTATATTTTACTTTGAACAAAAGATTAGGTAGGTAGCCCCCCCCCCATCAATAGTAGGAAGAATGATAACAGTTACTGGACTTTTATGTGCTGTTTCCTCATTTAGGATATTGGCGATCATGGCTCTCCATAGTTTCCCGTCCTTTGTAGCTTTTAATAACTTTTTTGTCTTTTTGTCCATTTCTCTCAAATCCTGCTTTGCTGCCTGTTCACTCAAGCCCACCAGGTAGATTATGCATTGCCTTTCTCTGTCTCTCTTATCTTCAATCTGTCACGTGAGTATCAAATTTTCCAAGCCCTCTTTCCTCATTATGTGCCCCCAGATGAAAGCTTTTTCTTTGAAAAATTGTTTTACTAGGAGTTTATAAATTTGAATCAAAAGTAGCGTTGTCTGTTTGGTCAATTGATGCTAAATATTTCCTGATAACAAGGAAAAAAACCTAATATTTCCATTATCATAGTGCCATTTGTATAAGATGGTCCAGAACAATTTTGACATAACTGATTATAATACGGTAATTAGCATAACTGATTATAATATGGTAATTAATCTTGGTTGGTTATTTCCATGAAAGAAAAAACACCTACCTGAGTCATCCAGTTTGTCCAATGTAGCTCTAGATTCATCACTAAAATTTGCTCTTGATAAATCAGATTTCATGAACTTCAAATGTCCATGTTTCAGTTGCTTTCATTTCTTTAGACAATGATCTTAATATTCGACATCTTTCGTACACTTTACATTTGCACCACCGATATCTTCAAATAGTTATTGGTCAGTTCACTTTTCTTGCTTTATTAAATTTTTTATTAAATTTTTTATTAAATCTTTTTTTGAGATGTTAAAACGAGTCTTTGTTCTTATCTTGCCGATTATTTTAATTTCGTTTTTGATTCTTTTATAATCATTATCTAGCTTTTTCAATATTTCTAAATTCGATGTTCTATCTTTACAAGAGTTAGATCAGACCAAAAATGAAGTATGACTGCCATATTCAGGCTGGTGCTAACAAGTCCTCATTGTCTAGTCTCAACAGTAATTACGTGGCCTGGTAGGTAGGTGAGGAATTATTTTCTACCCTGCACCCATTATCCCAAATTGTTGCAAGCCTTTCATTACTCTATCGGTATTACTATGGCAAATGTTCAGATGAGTTCCATTCCTTAGTTTGACCATCTTGGATCTTCACAGCTAGGGCACACATTGCCATATTCAGGGTAGTAAATCATCCCTGTTCCTTTTGTGTTACTTAAGGAGTAAGTTCTACTCAGACAGCGTCTTTCCCAGAACTGTTACTATAACGAAGAAAACGGCGACTTACCTCGTCAAACCAAGCGACAGCGCGTCGCGTATATTCTACGATGGAAAATGTGACGAAAAAGAAAATTACTTACCAAACAAAAGGGCACGTATTCCGCATGACATGCTGAAGATGGAATATTTGAATTAAAAAAAAAAAACAAGTCCGTCACAGGAGTCGCTATGAAAATATTTTGATATGTAAATTACTGAACATCCTCTCCCAGCTGTCGACGAATGGAAAAAATGCTCTGCCGATAAAAGCAGTTGGTGTTCTCGAATCGGGGAGCAAAATTCGGGTATTTTGGCTACCGTGTTTGTTGGAGAATGAGTTATTTTTCTGACTGGTTGCGTGCATTGTGATTCATGAGATAGTACCCGCGAATCGAGTTTTCGGCATTTCTTTCTGCACCCCCCCAGATGTTCGAGTCTGAACTTAGTGATTTATTCTCTGTGACGTGGAAATAATCTGCGACAAACATTTCCTTTGTAATCCCAGATCGCTTACAGTTACCTTGTAGAACAAACTCCAGAGAGGATGCTTCCCTGACAACTACAGTCTTGGTCTCTTCAAGTCTAGGGTCAGGCGATGTCTATCTTTAATCCCTCCTTCACAATATAGTGTGGTTTGGACATATTAAAAAACATGAAAGCCTGTGCAAGACCATCATGCAAGGCAATAATGAAGGTGGACGTACGAGAGGACGCCAATGCAAAAACTGGTTGAATAGTGTCAAACAATGGACAAGTATAACTATACAAGATTTGCTGATGGCTCTCATTGATAAACCGTTGTGGATGAGATTCAATGTGGCTTTTGCATTCAGATTCCTTCTACGATTACACAAGTCAAGGGGATGATGATGATGATCACAACAATCTTGCTAAGTAACCCTTAGATTTCGTAGAGGGTGAACTAGCAGTATAAAAAAAAGTTCAGTTATTATTAGATGCTGCAGGAACCACAATGCGTTTTGGAGAATCTATTTGCTTTTTGTAGCAAATACAAGTGCTATCTGGAATACTTATATTGGAGGGAAGTTTTCAACTTATAAAATAAGTGTGCTAGTTTAAATAAATGCTCCGTGAGAATTTTAATAAGATTAATAAACGC